AGTCTTGAAACTTTCCGATCGCACCTCCTACAGTACTAAAAGAACTGAATAAAATCTGATTAATTATATTACTGAAATGTAACTAATTTACTTCATGGACCAGAGTCCTTCTTGAGAAACTAACACTTGCATGTATTAAGAAATTACGTCCCCTTTCTGAAACCCTAAGGTGCATTACTGTGTTCAAAAATTCCCATCAACAATTTATATTCTGGATTAGGTAAATTCAATTCATACACTCCTGCCCCTTCTCTTTAAGATCCACTTTTAATATTATCCTCCCACAGAGGCTTGTGTTTTCCAAGTGGCTTGCTTCTCTTTGGGTTCTCTGACCAAAATTTTAAAGCATTTCTCATGTCTCATATATGCTACATGCCCCCCACCCACCTTATACTTATTGATTTTGAGTGTCCTAATATTTGGTGAAAGTCACTTTTTTGTTTACATATTTTTTTATTTAAAGGTGGTAAAGAATAGGTACCATGTAATTTTAGTTGTAACTTTAATGTGGGTACAGGATCAGAACAGGCAACGTAATGGACAACAGCGTGGCACTGATGGATAGTTTCTCTTAAAATGTCACAAACATAAAAGTCTGTAATTGCTTATTATGTAGAAATTCAGCTCTTTTATGGAATATCAGTTCTTTTGTGCTGTTTTTTGCAGAAATGTGTGAACTATGCAAATTCAATTACTGTACAAATTATGGAGATTCTCATACTGAAATTTTCTCAAACTTTCTGCCACTTCCTCTCCCTTAAACATGCTCTGCACCTTTTCCACAAAAACCTCCAGTCTGTAACTAACTACTTAGAGCAGACATGTTTTTGATAAGCTGATAACCTAAAGGTTATTTAATGTGTTTACGAGAGCTATGTGCTTACCTGTTGCACTAGAGTGTGAAACTGAAGTCCCAGATTCAATGACTGTCTCTTTGCTATGTTCTTTGGACCTGGTATAATGAGCATTATCACTACAGCTACCAGTGGCAGAAGCATGTGATTCAGGTGATGACAGTTTCTTCATCTGCCTTTTCTTGCCGAAAGGTTTGGCCTGGTTCCACTCATTCCCCACGTTAGTAATGCTTGAAGTGTTTGATGTGGAAATTATATGACTATGTGAATGTGATGATGTGCTCTCAGAAGCTTCCAAACTTGAAGACATTTCTGTGGTGTCCATCTTTGTGCATGACATGATTTCACTGTATGAGATACTGCACGTTACTTTGCTGTTAGAATATTTTCTTGTGTTTGAAGGAGCCTTTCCAGGTATTTCATTGTCTGTGTGTGACTGTGCACTGTTAGGGGCGTTCTGCGGCAGAGACCAGTTGTTCCTTACAAAGCCTGAAGTTGTTTGCGGTTGTAAGTACATAAAAGTAGCCTGTGCATGAGGATTCTCCTGGCTGAAACATCCCATAAATATTGTTACAGACATCACTTATGTTAGTCATCTCTGCATTTAACACTTCCATTGTCAAGCATGGAAACAAATGATGTACCATATTTTCATGTTTATAATACCCACATTTTTACCTTCGAAATATGCCCCATAGTCACGGTTGCCATTCTTGCCAGTGCAGATGCATTCTGAATTGGGCACAGTCTATTAATTTCCATACAAATTTGTTTCTCCAAGTCCCTCCCCCATCAAGAAGCAATGTTCAACAGTCAACATAATTTTGGCAAATTGATGATTTTTACAATTGAATAATGTTTTTAAAAGGTTAGATAAATCAATTGCTCTTACTCTTAGTGTTATACCTTAAAACTGCTTTGATTTTGGGGGCACAGCTTATACAAGGGAATGTCTTATTCACTAGAAAATACAGTATGGTGTTGCCTTGCCAGTATTTTTTTTTTTTTTTTTTTTTTTGGCTGTTTATCAAATTTTGTGTTTTATGGGTTCTCGATAAATGTGAAACACAAAGGAACCAGTAGCAGGTGGAGGTTGGTGTTTGTTGTATTGGTACCACTGATACATTGGGTCATTCCCAGTTAGATATGCCCCAGTTAATTGCATTCTATAAGTACAGTGTTATACAACTGGTGTGCCATGAATTGTTTATAAGAAAATGCATATTAATGAGTTATAATTAGAAAAAGGCATCAACAGTTTTATTCAACATATTTTGTTTCTATATGCCTGCATTCTCTTTGAGCAACTGTTTATACATTGATACATATTTATGACCGTGTATAGTTTTGTACCCCCATTTCTTCAGGCAACATGTTGTGGTGTGCCTTTATGTCATGTGTGAGAAATCAGTGTGTGCTAGAGGTAAAAAAAGGTTGCGGAGCACTGCTATAGTAACCGTCACCAAACTGCATGCTTCAAAGTCAGGAGGACTTTACCTCCCTCACACTGCACAACTCTTAAGTCAACAGTATAGCATTACAAGCTTTGCTGTGATGCAAGTTATGAGCTGCCTGCACTCAATTGGGATCCACTGTACATGTTTCAACAGTGAACAATACTGCTGTGACCTTAGAAGCATCAGTTTGGTGATGGTTACTATACTACACATAATTAATATAAAAGCATTCATATTCTAAAAGTAAAGTTTGTCCCGCTACGTGCCATACAGGCGCTTGGGGTGAGTGGAGGTATAGCTCCTCTCTTTCTTGACCTCGGCACTAAATGGGGGTGAGTGGTCGGCATCATCCCCCGGCCGGTTTTACCCCCGGGAAAGGATCCCGGTACCCATTGTAGAGGAGGCTGGGTGGGCCCCAGAGCTGGTCTGGATGCAGAGGCTAGAGGAAAAATCCTCAGCCCCCGTCGGGAATCGAACCCCGGTCATCCAGCCCGTAGCTAGTCACTATACTGACTGAGCTATCATGGCTCATATTCATATTCTCACAACTTAAATTTGAATCTGGGTCAAATTAGTATTTTATACTGGTTACGTGAAGAACCAGTTTTATTTTTAATATACTTTTACAGATAAATGAAAACAATGTGCTCACTTTAATTCTTGGTGCCTTACATTTTTGTGCTATTATAATTACTTAATGGGTAACTGTCAAGATTTATAAACAACTAACTTTACACTTATTTGTTAAAAATGTTACATACCAGGCCACTGCCAATAACTAGGCTGAATGTCATGTGGTGACGAGGTCTGTCATTTAGCTCTGAGTAAAACTACAAAGTATGACATCCAGCCCGTCTTTTCATATCCATCAAAACCTTCACATTTTTTACTTTACTTCACAGATACATATTAGTGAGTTGGATATTTATTTAATAAGGTGTTAGAATTATCTGGCTGTGAATAAGGTCCCAGGGTTGAATGTGCTGAACATTCCAATACTAATCCTTTTAATTCCACAAAAGGTGGGGAAATTAACTAGCTGAGCAACTATTAGTGTTTTAAGAAGTGTTGAGTGAGAAAGTTTATTAGCTGAGCAAATCATTGTATTCAAAATTAGGTAGGTCATGAGGCTCTGTAGTCAAGATCCTGATTCTGAATGAATCACAATGTTTAACCTCATCTTTCATATTTTCTTCGGTTTGGTAAGTATAACACAACTGTGAATATATACTTATAAAATTATCCAAATAGTCTGTATTACAATATAAAGCCATTTCACAGATTTTTATCTATAACCAAAACCAGTTACCTCTCAATGTGTTTCCATTAGTCCAAATTCCAAATTCATCAGCAGAGCAAATATTAATCAAAAAGTAACAAAAATTAAGAGCACAGCTGTAGGCTCCCATGATAGTAATTCCAACAAGGTCGATGTAACAAAGTCCTTCTTGAGAAGCTGATAATCGCTCAGTTGTTAATAAAATTGCACACCTGTTATTAAACCTAAATGTTCATTAGTGTGTTCTGAAGAACATACCTACTGGATGCTGCCCTGAGCCAGCTGAATCCATCCGGCCCTATTTACTGAAGATGGATTTTAATATTATCCTCCAGTAGTAGTCCATTCCTTTCCTGGCTAAATTTCTGTATGCATTTCACATTTTCCCATGTATGTTTGTCTCACCTAATCGAGTTGGTTATATAATTCTAAAAATATGTGCATGGCTTACCTTGTGGGACTCCGCTGGACACTGCAGTCACTGGCATCATGGGGCTGGTTCAGCGGGAAATTTTTCATATCCAGCAGATTTGGCGAATCATTGGGGGACCTTGAAGATGGGCCTGTTAAATAGTATGAAACAGTACATAAACAGAGCCAATGAGGTGGGCCCAAAATCTTTGGGAATTTAGTAATAAAAATAAGGTTTTGGCAAGATGAAGCAATCAGGAAAATGGCACAATAAACATGAACTGTCTGTGCCGAAGTACCATGACATGAAGGCATATTATTGACCACAGTGCAAGATGGATGTGAGTGGTCAGCTTTATGATCTGGCCTTTTTACCCCCAGATAAAGAAACCCAGAACCAGAGTGGACAGCGCCTGCAGACTGAATGTTGGAATATACTTCAGAAATGCACCATATAACATTGTAACTGTGAAGGATGTGGAAGGAAGCAGCCGTAGCTTTTACCTGGTGGACTGCAGAAACCCACAAAACACCTGAGCCAGAATATCAAGATTCATGGCCAAAGTTAGATCCATATGCTTCCTGAATATAAGAAGTATTAATCATGGTATCCTGGTAAAATAAATTATTCTGAACTATCAAAAAGTATCATCAGAAATTGCACTGAATTTGTACCTGAATTGAAGAACAAACTAATGTAAAAGTAGCTAATAAATTCAATGAATGGGCCCTTTACCTGTCCAATGATTTTTCCACAATATCTTCACTATATACAGGGGGGCCTCTAAATCTGTATTTAGAACTCTGATGCACACAAATGTATTCCAAATGCATTCTTCATGACGTTGCATTCCGCTCTGGTCTTACCATACTCAATTGTTCTGAAGGTAATCACAAACAGCATGGGAACATTGCATACAGATCTGAACAAATGTGGACCAGCATTATTAAGCTCTCCAATATACCTTTTAATGCGCCTACTTAATGCCAAATTTAATCTCGAATCGCTCTGTCATTTTAGAGATGAAATATTCGAGCACTGATTTATTCACGATGTACTTTGAAACGCACAGTTATGAAATATCCAGCACGAAGAAGTTACTTCTGATACTGCTCTTATTAATGACAATTTCGTAATGGAATATGGCAATGACATGGGTCATTCATGGCTGAAGTCAGACATCAAAAGAATGGTATGAGGGAGAATGTCTGGGCGTCAGCGATTCAGCATCGAACGTAACGTTGATCTGCTAACGTTCTGTTGGTAAACCTTTCTCGAGATTTCGCAAGTCATATTGCGGTCTAGGTGTTTGAGTGATACTTCTATCTTTGACAATTAGGAAAAGCAACTTCGCAGATGTGTAGCTTGCTGTGTCCCGATGCAAAAAAAAAAGACTGCTACGTTGTGAATCTCGCAACTGAGGCAACTCTTCCGAAATGTAATAAAAGGAGAACTATTATCAAACTTGAATTTTACTTACTTAATATTTTAACGACAGAACTACCGTTTCCAATCTTTAAATGTTACGTCTTATAGTTATATTCGTACTAGTAGAATTTCCACAGTGTTAGTGCGGGAAAAATTCGACAAATGCTTGTATTCGTTATCAATCATTTTTGTCGGAAAATTTATCACAGGCGTAGCATTGAATATCATAGAAAACATTATTCATAAAACCAACATCTTCACTGAGACTCGAACCCTGGAGAGTTTTTCTCGGTTCTGTAGCAAATAACTTGGTCTTCGTCTCGACGCCATTCTTCTAGCGTGCTTAATTTCGGAGCTACAGGAAACGCCCTCACCGGGACTCAAACCCAGGACATTTTCTCCAGAGTTTTGATCGTCCTGTGTTCTCTTCCTGGTCTCAAAGAACAAGCATTCAAGTCTGGATAAACTCGGTTTTTCTCTTCTCAAGCAAAAAGCGAACATGTGACTCATAAAATGTTTTGGCGAGGTTAGCCTATTTGAAAACCGATATGGAAATGAGCGAATAACGTTAAAACGGATCTTAGAAAAGCATTTTGTGGGTATGGGTGGTGGCTGGAATTGGAGAAAGATTGTGTCCAATGGCAGGCTTTGACATTAACGATGCCGAACCTTTAGCATTTTGCTACCAGACTTGAACAAACTATAAAGTGTCCCAACAATGCATATACTTTGTTCCGCCACGTTATTTTGTTTCACTTGATAGTGGCATCTAATGGAATGCACTAATACAAAGCGACGCATGTCCGTCAAAATTGTAATATATCACTACAAAATGCCGTTACAAGAATTTCCCCTCCTCCAATTATTACGAGGTTTTTCAATTTAGTCTCACCGTCCTTGTCCATTAAAATTAATTCCCAAGAACCCTGGAACTCAGGCAAAAACCTTACCTGGAGTGTCGAATGAAGACGTTGGATCTGGGTTACAGTCTGCAGGGAAGAGTCTCTTCAATTCTTCACGCAGCCAATCTGGATACACAGCTTCTATATTTTTGCACCACGAGAAGTGGTTTGGATTTCGCTCCTGGCGTTGAACGGGATAAACTGTATTCAAATTTGATCTGCCTTCCAAAGTACCTCTAAATTCACGCGGATAATGATTATTACTGAAATCGTCACAACTTTCAAAACCTGGGTCCATAAAGCCACAAATTCTGCATCTGTTTTCCATTGGTATATGAAGATTATTACGTATATTATTTCAGACTAATTAATTATATTACCAAAACACATAGAAAATAAAGAAACTGCTCGCAATGTTAAGTAAAAGCGAAACACAATATACGATTGTATTTATAAAAACCAATTAAATCTCCCACTCTGACGCGCTAATACTTAACTCAATCGTCACAGCCTCTAGCTTCACGCCGAAATGCACTACCAACGCAGCAGTAAGTGCATAGAATTGCCGCAACGGTAGCCGATAGCAATCAGATTAGGATGACGCCATAGACAAAATAACGCCATGTGATTGGTGCATTGTTTTACTCATATTTTCAGTTGACTAGGAAATCTTTATGGCAAATTTGTGAGAAGTTTCTTAACAGGCAGGATATTGGCGAACTTTTGAGCGCAGCTGCTCTAATTATAATCTAACACATTATTCCAAACAAATAACTGTGATAGTAAGATGACCTTTTGTTTCTGGACCATTTTCTTGTGTTGGCGTATGACGCCCGACCGTCTGAGTGCAAAACAAGACCCTGTGCCAGGAACCGACCCAACAACAGCTCATTATTTTCAACGTACTTATGCTAAATTGTTTGAATTATGAGGTTCTTGAAGAATTTGTCGCATTTCCTTTTCACCCAAATGCTTCGATCTGTATAGCGAGTCTAAGAAGTACCATAAATTGATAATCACACAACTTCCATCCAGTTTCTCATTGTTTGGTTTGTTTCAAATGGAATGATATTGATACCAACTTTCAATACATTACGTTACATTCAACAATATAAATGTTATCAGCAGAGACTGTCGTTAGCACTGCTGTTTCGTATTCAAGAGGTCCCGGGGCCAAATCTCGATCCGGAGACTGATTGTTCTGACTGAGGATTTTCGTGGTTTCCCTCAGCCCTTCCAGATAAATGTCGGGATATTGCATTAAATTAGGCCATGGCCGCTTCTTTCCACATATTTTCCAATTCTTCATTCATAAATTATCGTACCATTTGACATGATGTGGTCTGAGCTACTGGCAGCGTTGTTGAATTAAACATATGGATGCTCTGTCGCACGAATATATCCATACAAAAGACTGAAAGTGGACAACACGGCCGTACAAAACATTTGTTAACTGTAAGAGATGAATCATTCACTAACGAAGACGATCATCTCCCGCTTCTGTAGAGTGTAGACACCTCACACAGGGCAAGATAAGCCTCATGAGAGGTTATGGAGGTCATCATACAACAGTCTTGAATTTGTTACCATTATAATGAGGAAGTCGTTATCAGGTAACATGAGCTTAACGTAACATCTGTGGAAAGAAAAGCCCTGTCCATGATCGAAGGAAGTGTGGGCGACAGGAAGTTGCCTTCTTGGCGATAAAGAATTTTGAGACAATTTGATGTATTCCATTTCAAATGACATTACGCTTAATTGCGCCATACGACTATACGATGATAACGGTAAAGTCAAATGTTTTTAATAGGTCTATATGTATGTATCCCTTCCCTGGAACTAGTCTGCTTGCCATGTTGTCTTTTCTATTCTAACCTGTACTCTGCTATGGCACGGGCATTCGTTTCAATCCGACAGCGCTTAACAAGGTAAGGATCCATCTTAATTGAATGAAAGAACATAAAATTGTCTTTTTACGGATTATAAAAAAACCTAAAAAATGTACTACGATTCTGAGACTGTCACCGTCCTCAGGAAGGAGTGTACATGTTCTATAGAGCCTGTTAAATGAAGTTTGTCTTCCAGTTGTGAAGACTGTGGGCCCATGAGATAATTCAGTCTTCGTCGATGGAAGACAGCTGTATGTAATAGGCCCCATAGAGTAGGTATCTTTTTGTCTAAAGACAGGGACACGGGTCTTCGAACCCGCATTTTTTTTTAATTTTAAGTATCAATTTGTCAAAGACTCATAACAGCGCTAGTGCACTAGAGAATAGAGATGGAAGTTATGAAAAAATGCATGCATACGTGCATTAATAATTGAAGACCTGAGAGCAACAGTGAGCTAACTTTCATGTGGGGGGGGGGGGGGGGGGGTTGAACATGGTTGTACTATCAATAAAATCTTTTCGGGTAATCAGCCACGTTAACTGGTTACCGTAATAAACCGACAGGCGACTTCCGAGGATCCGGTCACATCAGAACCCTGAAGATGGGGACAGAGTTTGTTCCCGAAACGTCGGTTTATTACTTACCCAGTTAACGTGGCTGATTGCCCGAAAAGATTTTATTGATTGTACTCGCCGCGAAAGTTTCAAATCCTATATGGTTGTACTAATTCATCACGTAAAATACAAATTTAGAGGTAACAAACGACATGTGACTCATCCTCATGTTTGTAATGATATTCATATGCAGAATACGTTTTTAAATTATAACCAAAAAAGAGAATGACAGTTTCTTATATTGGGACATGTGTTCCTAATACTGGTTGTTCCCATGAACAGAGGAACTGAATACATTGTTTGTTGTACTTGATGGCCTCTCCAAATTTAAATATGCTGGAGTTTAATATGACACTGTGGCTGAAGTAACAGTGAAGAAATTTTCCGCTTGACTTGTTAATTTCTGTCCATGCCTTCAGGGTTTTGAAGTCAATACTAATATAGTTAATGGGAACATAAGAACAGAGCAGACCTGGAAAATTTACAGACTGCATTCAGACAGGCATGTACTAGGTAGATGAGATCAGAAGTTTCTTTGAAGTCGTAAATCACTGTGGAATGGCTGATCCATATGCCACACTCCATAAGAAGCTGATGGGTTAACCAGTAGGATAAGAATGGTTCGTAAATTTCATGTTCCGAACCAATCCAAATTGCAAGAGCATTTTGGATATCGGCATCCATACCTGATAAGAACAAGTCAAGTGATCATGGAACAATACTACACATAACATTAAACATAATCCACGAGCAAAATGCTTTGCATTATATTTTATTTTAATCACTCTGTATTACAGTGTGTCGTACTGTAGTTGCAAGGCCGAGGTAAGGGTGGTAGGGTGTAGGATTGCGCATAGCGATGCTTTTTAGAATAATCCATGGACGGGATTGTGATCACATTGTCCGAGTCGTGGACTTGGTACCTCAAATTCTGTGGAACACAAGACTTGCAGAAACCTGGTATATGACGGAAGAGACTTCTAACCAGTTTGCGAGGTTTGAAGTGAAAACTGCAGTAAGTAAACTTTATGAAGTCTAACGTGTACTGAAATTTTAAATTCCCTCTTGGAAACACATAACTCATAAATTTCCCTTAAATACGATTGGTAAATATTATATGAGGTACAAAAATACATTAAAACTTCGGGATAACAGTGTGAAGTCTCATTCATTTGAAATTTCAGTTACAAAAAATTAATGAATTGGTCTCGCAGCAAATAGGAATGTGACTTAGACGTTTTTAGACAACGTGGAATATAGGGTTAGAAATATATAATGAGGCAAGTTCAGTTTGGTATGGTATAAGATTAAATGCATGGAAACAGATGTATTCTGAAATTAACTGAAAAATGTGGTGTGAGGACGCTGGTTGCTATACAGTGATGGAAACCCACATCAAGAGGCAATAGCATTTAAAGCAACAGCAAACGTGATGTTGCAATGACTCTGGGTAAATGAAAGTCAGTTGAAAGTCTGTAACTTGGTAATTTAGGATATGCCAAAGATTTGGAATTCTTTCAAAGAAATACAGTGAACAATACACCAGAAGAGAGCGATCTTCAGACTAACTGCTGTGAAAATCTTAAATCCTACAAGAAAAGGTCTGTTAGATTTCTGATAGAACTTAGGTTAGATGGATGGTTCAGTAATGAGGAGTGCAAGTGAAGTGAAGGAAAGAGCAAAAAGAGGGACCATTCAAGTTAATGTTTTATCACTCATTTGCCTCAGGTATCACAGTGTTGTTCACAATGAGACTGTGAATGATGCCTTCACGACGCTTTCCACTTGTCACTGCCTTTATGTATGCAGGCATGTCCCCCAGTGCGAAGTGTGTCTCAGTTCCATCCTCCACAAATTCCCCCTGTGGTGAGACAGGAACATTATAAACATTTATGCTCAGTACCTTTATAGTATGTTGTAGGATACATGTAAAGCAAATTGTTACTGACAGCACGCTAACCACTCTTGGAGAGTCGTGGGAAAATGGACAGAACATTTTGGGCTACTTTCTTATCAAGGAAGATGTCATGATTGGCTTGTACACTCACCATTACTTGAAGCTTTTCCCCATTGACCCACACATCTAGTGTGTCTTTCTCTGAAATCAGAACAGTAAGTAATTAACTAACTAACTAGATAGCTTACCAAACCCGAAGGTTCATTACCGGATTAACCAAAGCCGTCCATCGGACCCTGTCCTGGGCCAACAAAATTCAGTCTCCTTCAACTCCTATCTCCCATAGATCCCACCTGAGATTATCCTCCCATCTACGTCTAGGTCTCCCCAGCGCTCTTCCCCTCAGGCTTCCCAACCAATACAAGGTGCACACCTCTTGTCCCATCCATGCGCGCTACATGCCGAGCCCATCTCATTCTTCTCGACTTAATCACCCTGACAATATTGGGGGAGGAGTACAGATTTTTAAGCTCCTCATTACGCAGTTTTCTCCACGCCCCTTCGTCTTCTCTCCTAGGCCCAAATATCCTTCTCAACACCCTGTTCTCAAACACCTGCAATCTGTGTTCCTCCCTCTGAGTGAGAGACCATGTTTCGCACCCATACAAAACAACAGGCAAGATTATTGTTTTGTATATTTTAATTTTCAGGTTCCTAGAAATCAGACTGAAAGACAAAATATTTTGAACTGAGAAGTAGCAAGCATTTCCGGAATTTAGTCTCCTCCTAACTTCCTCATTAGTGTCATTTTCATTTGTTATTGTTGTTCCTAGATATTTGAACTTTGTAACCCTTTCAAAGGAACAGTAAGTAATTAGTAAGCATAAAACACTAGGAAGTTAAAACCAGATGACATTTGGGGAATGCTTACTACCATTTACCTAAGAATGTTTTATCTTTCTAACTCCTATTTAAAAACATGTACATTACTATATAAATAAGTATAATTTTACCTGTGGTTATATATGGGTGTAAACATTGGTCTTTCACACAGCAAATGGCCGGAGGGTGAATGAGCACAAAGTGCTGAGGAAAATATTTTGACCTATGAGAAATGAAGTAACAGGAGGATGGAGACAAGTACATGAAGAGAGGTTCATAATGGGAGGATACTATTAAAATAGATCTTAAAAAGTTGGTGTGAATATATGGAATGGAATGAACTGGCTGGAGGTAGGGCCCAGTAATGGGCTGTTATCAAAAAACATTTATTAAATGATGGAAGTTTCCACCTCTGTCAAAGGTGAAAGATGGGGAAAGCATGCAGAAAAATATGTATTAGATCTGGCTAGTTTCAAATCTGAGGCAGTCACATGTGTCTGCCTGCCTGTATAATAAGTTTTGGCTGGTTTTGGGCCATGTGGAATAATATTTATGGTTGTAAGTGTAATATTTCAGATTTTTCTCTCATTCTCGATGGGTAATTTACTAGTTATCAAACAAACCAGAAGCAGGAAGAGTGATTCTGGTATCTAAATAGCATTATTTTCAGCATTAAAATCTCAGCCATACATGATTCATCTTGATTGTGTCTCCATTCAGTAGCATCAATTATGCTGAAATCGCCGATTATCTAACTGTTGCAAATGCATACTCAGGAATGCAGTGGTTAAAATATGTTGTTGTAATAAAACATGATTGAACAGTTTGAAGCAGATGATCAGATAACGTGTGTATACAACATACTTAATTTTCAGCAAATATGTAAAGAATGTTGATGAATCTGTTGTTAGGTATCATACGTCGTAACATGCAATACACTCACCCAGAACAACTCGAAACGTCTCATTTCTGATATGAACAATCCAGGTATTTATTGCCTTGCTTTGTATCTCAGAAAATCTCTGATAGCTCTCTCCATTCACCTCGAGGGAATATGAGTACGAGAAGCCTCCAACAGGCTCAACCTTGATAAGACAGCAGGCACTGCCAACATTGAATGCTTCATCCCCAACCAGCTTGAACATCCAATCACGGTGCAACACTTCCTATGAGGCAAACCATGCTTGAGTAACAGCCCTCAGTTAATTAACCATGTGACTGAATGGTAATGTGTATGATTTGCATTTGTATGTGCTTCAGATTTTAACCACAGACCTCATGAATATGGATGGAGTCCTATACACTTCTATAATATTTGGTACCAAAATTTAATATTTAATTACAGTTTTAAATTAAATACCTTGCCATCAACTCTAATTATTCTCTTGCCTGATGTTGTTCCATGTTCAAATTCAATGTGATGAATGCCATCGCTGAGTGGGATGTCCCAGAAAGCAACCAGATCCCCTGTCATTGTGCATCAACTGAATTTTCAGTTCCACACCTTCTAAACAGCAAAAGAGGATTAAAAAAGTTAATGTGCAAAATGTATCATATAATTCTAATACAATCTCTCTCTTGAAATTATTGAACATGGGTTTCTTAATAGATGTTCTGTAACTAACTTCATCTTGTAGTGTCGCTTTTGAAAAGTTGATAGTCACCTGGACCAAAAATTTCTTGCTCTTAAGGAACCAGAAGGTTCATTATTATGTCCACAGTTTTCTTTTTTGCATTTGGAATATACCCACAAAAATTAAATTATTGGCATGTTTTGATGAAAAATATTTTACCGTAAAATACAGAATTTTGTTTATATAGTTATAATTATTATTATCCAAAGTTATCTCATGTCACAAGTGCATTATATTCACTACTGTTTTGGTAACAATGATTAACAATTTTTTAACTAAAATCTGAAACATTTTATGAATATATTCTCAACTTGCTTAAGAATTTTTGTTATTATGATATTTTTAAAGTCAGAAACTTTTCCAAATAGCTAACCAGAATTCTGTATATGAGGACCTGGGTTCAGTCCTGGGAATTGTACTGGAGCAGGTTTAACTCCTTGATCTTTAGTTTTTGCCTGCTATTCATTCTGCCATTGCATCACACTCAACTAAAATCACCCCATCATGACGTGAGTAATGGCCATGACCAAGCAGCACATTATTATATCGTCAGTTAGGGGCTTAGTATCTGACCCAGTACTTGGCTATAGTTCAGGTTTTAGGTGCTTTTTCAAATTACATAACCTACAGTTATGGTATATTTGCCATAAAATTAGTTACGTGGCACATACGTTTAGAATTTTCTGATTTTACTATAATTTTCGGTATTATTTACACGTACCTAATAATTATCAGCATATAACTGATTTCAGTCATTCATTTCCACTTATATATTTGAACAGAATATACAAATATAATTAACGAACATAACCTATTTGTCACACAAATAAGAGTCCGATTTCTACTGCTATGTATTATTTGCGCAATGCTGCATGGAAAATCAATATTCTTATAGCTGAAATGGGTCAAACAAGTACATTAAGGTGGGGAGTCATCCATATTGTATTATTTCCGTCAATTTCGTATAAGATTACGATACATAAATAGTATTTTATTCGCTACATATCTGAAACTGGCATGGTAGTGTACAGGCCTTCGATTATCGTTGATGGTAAATTATGATTATTCTTGCTGATGATTGGCTCTAGAAATTTGACAAAACAATTGCGTAAAAAGATGAATTTTCATACAGAAGGCGCGATTTCGATTTCATTAATTCACATTTCTTTCTTTTAAGGGTCACATTATTGAAAGGCCTACTTGTAACCTTGTGTATTTATCTTTAATATTCTTTGACAGATTTAATTTAGTTTTGTAGGATTTGAGGTTCCCGTGACAGAAAGTATGAAGATGTCTGTCTTCTGGATTACAGTCTGTGTAGTCTTGTAGTTTACAAAAGTTTAGAGGTACCTTCTGCTTCCATGTTATGCCTGTAAGAGTATTACCACATTTAACTGGCATATGCTTTAATTCGTTTTAAGAGGTATTTTATGTGGAGACCTAAATTAACTTTTATGTTTATTGTTTAGTCCTTGACAGATTTTTGTGATATTCAGTATGCAGCACTACAAGAATACAAGTATTATCAAGTTTTTTGATATCCTTAATTTGTTTTAGGCCCATGTTAAGAGCATAAGAGAAAAATACTGGGATAAGTTGTCTTTCACAGTATTTTCATAAAACTAGGCTCTTTTGTGAAAATCAGTATTATAATAATTACTAAATGTGCACCATCAAAAGTGTTGTCTAACCTTCAGCTATCATGGACATGAAATGTACCTTTCTAATGACATCTGCAGTATGCATTTACCCATTCTTTGTGTTTTCTAAAATGTTATAATGTTTATGGACAAACTTTGTCCCTGCCCTCATTAATTGCATTCATCTCATCTTGAATACTACTTATTAATAAAATAAGGGGAATGCCAAACATAACTGCTTTTAGTCATTCTCATTTCAATTTCTTAATAATTATTTAATGGATGCAGGGACCATGTGGTACTGACAGACCTTAATAAATAAAATGTATTTAATTGTTGAGATGATTATGTCTGTTATGCTTCTATATGAATAATCTATGAGTTGAAACTGTCATTCTTCACCACTGTATTTTAGAATTACACCAAAATAACATAAAAGAGTGAAGCATTAACAATCAACACAAAACATGTAAGAATATCAGTGTTAAGACAATTTTAACTTTTAAGTGCATTAAACAAGGCTTTGTGTCCATCATGAAGAATACCTACTGAACGTCTGTGTATTTAGTGCTGGACTCTTCAAATGCTTAATTTTATATAATATATAAGAACTGTAACATCTTAAAAACAAAGTAAGAGCTCATAGATTTCTCAAACTCTTTATCATTTTATACCTCAAAATTAAGTAAAATTAGGAAATGGCAGAATACCAATATTTTTGGGTTAGACAGACGTTCCTAAGAATTTTAGTTGTTTTTATTTCAATGCAATGGCTGTTTTTTCCCACTAAGTGTCAAGTTTAAGGCAACATGAAGTCAATGAGTGTATGGCAACGTATTTATAAACATGTTTAAATTGTTTAGGTAAGTCTTATTGGAATTGGTTCTGAAGAGCTCAGTGCTTGTATGAAATTCATAGTGATTTAGTTTAGTTTGATGTTTATGAACATTGCTACAGTTTTATGACATTAACCTGATGAAAAATAAAAACTTGCAATCGGATTATGCTACTTTGGTGATCATTATTGTGTGTTAATACAAAATCCAATTTGCTTCATTGTATACAAGTATATGTCCATACCCACCTTGGAAATGGCAACTGCAGTGTTTGCCAAAATGCTGGTAAACACTAAACATTTGACACGACTCTCACCCAAAAGCCTAAGTTACATAAGTACATAGTAGGCAATGGATGAGCAATCAGTCTTTTTCAAATGCATTGTTTCCATTCTGTGAATGTTGATAATATTTGGACGAGATTATGTTTATCGCAGAATGTGAAATGTTTTAAAAATGTCCAAATAGAAAAGTTTAGTAAAATCGTGCCTGAGAGCTCTCTAATTTGACATAAACAAGATAACTGAAATGAACATTTGATGTGTCGTTATTACAGTGGCAGTATATAGGATTAAAAGTATTTGAATTCACATCTGTATGAACATCATTTGTATATATAACCAAACTCTGTACATACATATGCCTCCTGTTAATTTCAAACGTGCTTAACAAGAAAATATACCATTGACTATGATGTGTGTGTAGTGGAATTAGTAATATAGGAAATAAACAAATATATTATCTATGAATTAGACTGCACTGGAAAATGTATGCCTTCATCTTTGCTGTCAAAAGACTACTCTTAGGTAAATTTTGACCTGTGCATCAAGACTATTAAATATGTCTTCACTAGTATCGAAGACATTACTTCTTGGGGATAAAATTTATCTTTAATGTGAAATATGGGGTAAATTACTCTTTCCATACATTTCTTTAATTAGTAATGCAGTGCTTATAAGTTATTCTGAAATAGCAAAGGCATTATTGCCTAAATATGCATGAATTAAATCACCGTTTGTTAGAAAAACCCTTTTAACTTTAAATTTCAGATTTTACTCTTTCAATGTTATCAGGGGCTCTCAAAACTTTCCAGGATCTAGGGCACATCAAGAAGGAATAAATTCCAAAAGCAGGAGATTAAAGGTTTGAAGGTAGTGACACAACCAAAAAAATCATTAAACTTCACAATACAGTGTGTACCACAGGGATTACAAATGTGATACTCTGATATGAAGGAAGTCTAATAAATAACTTTTGGGGAAACAAAGAAAGTAGAGGAAATAAGCGAGAGAAAGTACGGAAAGTGTCGATGGGATGACAGAAGAATAGAGAATACATTATCATAAGATGACCTACCCAGGAGGAAATATTGAATGATTAATAATGATTACCAACTGCTGCAATATGTTAGTGTATTAAAACACTTTCAAAAATGCAAAAAATTACAATAAATTTATGAAAATAACAGGTTGTCCCAACAAAGAAAGTAACTTAAAATATGTACTTTTCTGTATCTAGTACAAGGCAACCATATTACATCAAGGCATAACAAATATTCTGAAATATTAAACCATTATTAATGCAATGCAGAGATGTTATTTGTAATGGTTTATTTGCATTGCACATGCCATTGTACAACTTTGGGAGTTATTATGAATTTGTTTGTTAGGTAATTGCCAGTTTAATGTCTGATTGTTAATAAGCATGTTTTATTTATTTTTATTTAGTGTTCTGTCTGACGACAGGTGGAGGTCCATATGAACAGGATCCTTCCATCCTTTTCTCGGACTGGGACCTGTTCATATACGTTCTTGGCAGATGATCCAGAAGTGGTTTGCCATTGCCTTCTTCTGTGTGTGAATGGAGTAATTGTTGGGATGCCACGGAGAAACCACGGAAGCCCCCGGAGGAAAACTCCGTGTTGCCTAGATCACGGCCTTGCCCAACACAAGTTATAAATTCGGGCACCGCCGGGAATCGAACCCGAGACCCCAGGATTACAAGGCCAGCGTTCTAACCGCTAAACCACCATGGCGGTTAAGCATGTTTTATGACATTTTAAAGTAGAAAATGATGTTTTAGGGAGAGGTACAATAATTATGTTAAGAATAACTCAGAATTCACAACCAGAAAGATACAGGTGTGTGCCAGTAGTTTCTGAACAGTTTCTCTTTAAATCTGGTGAAGTTCATGGAAACTGAGAACTTCTCTTGATCTCCTTGGTTTAGACATCGCATAACTGTGTTCTTTACAGTTTGTGCTATGATCAGTTTTCTTAACAGGTTTCTTCAATTCTGTCATAACAAGAAGTGCTGGAAGGAATCTATTGTGCCTACTATTCATCAAATCCTTAAATCTACATACAGAACTATACATAAATTAGAAATTAATAATTCAACAATTAGTAATTATTTCTAGAAATATGAGGCATACAGAAAAATATAATTTTGGTTGGGAAACCTGAAGTGTAGTGACCATTTGGAAGGCCTAGGCATAGGTAAGAGGATAATATTAAAATGGATATTAACGAAAGAGGTTAGGATACTGTGGATTATATTAATGTAGCTCAGGAGATGGACCAGTGGCAGGCTCTTGTGAACATTGTAAACAGCCTTCTCATTGCATAAAAAACAGCCTGTCAAGAAGGACTGTGCTCTATGAAGTTTGTCTGTTATTTCTATGCCTCATTTCTACTAGTGCAGATTCTTACTACCTGAAAGTTAATAACCTCAAACTTTTATATTAAGAAAATGTTCCATTCAGCATGTTTATGATGCATTAACACATAAAATTTCCCATGCTGCAGTGGTTTGTTAGTTACAGCTCTTAAACTGCAAGATCAATATAGATTCCATGTCAAATACCTTTTTACATTTTACAAAAATGCGTCAAGTGTCATATCTTTCGAAGAATTACCTACCCATCACCTAAGGAGTTTGCAGGCTGCCATGTCGATATTATTTACAGTTGGAATTTTAAAAGTACAGAAATCTTGCAGCATCAAATGTTTTTACACTGAGATGAAGTTTCTTCAAAATCTGTCTGCCCATATAAAATAATGAAGAAACGTTAAAACCAAGCCACAGGCTTATGGAACATAAATTATCTCAAATTCCTTACCAAACTTCTGACACCTATATGAAATAATAGCTTATTGTGACAAGGTTATGACAATACAGACATTTGTTTGGTTTAAGAGATTCAAGGAAGGAATTTGATTCACCAGAAGGCTCATTCATCACTTTTACAAACATTTAACCCTTTAAACCTAGTGGTAACTAAATGTACCACCTACTTCAACATTCACTATCTTTGCATTTTGCCCACAAATTATGTTTATGGGTTTTTATGTTTGTACTGAAGCACCATCACTGTATGGACACTTTTTCACATGCATTTTATGCTATTGTGATATTTTTTTTTCTCCCTCCAGACAATGTTTCAACTGATACTCAGTCATTAGGTCTCTAAATTATTGCATGTTTTGATGAAGGTTGAGGCCACAAACAACAAGAGCCTGTAATCTTCTGATGCTTGGTTTCCATGAAAACACTATAAATTGATTATACGGATTTGATGCTAAGATTTGTTAACCAGTTCTCATAATTTTCATTCCTCACACACAATTTATCGATAAAGAAATCCTTATAGCCTGTTACCATCATGATAGAATCTTGTCAGTTCTCAGTACAGCTGCAATGCTGGCAGTACCTTCCCCGTGCACGAGCCAAATCCCACGCGGAAACCATCACCTTGACAGTAACCTGGCAGAAGAAAACAGATTTATCTTATACCTTCCTCTGCTGTCCCTGTTTCCTGCCAGGATCAGTGAAAACTATGGTCGTAGCTTGTGGTGTTTATGGAAACATCCATAATTTTACTGATAAAGAATTTGATCAGGAATTTTTTGGAAGGAAGATTTAAACTGTTAACATAAACATTATTAATATTCATTAAGTGGTCAACCATTTGACTGCTTTACTAAAATTATTTTGATTGATGGAAGACTGAGGAAGATATATTTGCCATGTATCTACAATTTTTATATGATCAGAATCATTGTATACTACGGTGGTCTAGCAGTTAGAACGCTGGGCTTGTAATACTGGGGTCCCGGGTTCGATTCCCGGCGGTACTCAGATTTACAACTTATGTTGGGCAAGGCCGTGGTCTAGGCATCACGGAGTTTTCCTCCGGGGTTCGGTTTCTCTGTGGCATCCCAACAATTACTCCACTTTCATCATAATTTTGCAAAAAGGGGGTCACAGCAGGAGCGTTAAATGTTGCGGTCCCAATCGAACCCATGTACTGATGGGTCGTGAATCCTGCTAACCACCAATGCACACCATGCTGAATGGTGCGTACTGGACACAAAAAGAAAATGTATACTTAATTCTGCATACTATGTTTCAGTGATTGTAATATACATCCAGCCCTCTGACACATGAATTACAAGAAACTTATTTTTATGCCAACTATAAAAATGTACACCTGAGATTACATTAAACAAAGTCATACTTTTTCAAGTCTTAAAAATTCATTTTGATTGCTGTTTCTAATGTAAAAATAAAGTCACTGGTTTCAGTAGGAAATGAAACTTTCAGATATTGCTTTTACCTGTGATTATAACTTCGTCATTGTCCTGAAGGAATTTGCGAGTGTTTCCATCCTTAAGCTGAATGGGCTTGGTGCCTTTCCAGCATAGCTCAAGCATTGATCCAAATGAGTCAGAAGTCTAAAACAATGCAGTTCTGGATTAATGCCACCAAAAAAACACACTTCTTTCAACAGTCCATTTAAACATTATGGACTTCCTGTCTTGTTAGAGAATTTTAGCGTGTCACCAGCTTCATCACTGCATCTATGAAGTCTGCTATTTGATATTAGGCTGGACCACTTCAATCCATTTCACATCAAACATCCAATTTCCATACAATCCTTGGTGTCCCATGCTGAGTTAATATGAGGCTTTGCTACTGTAGTTCTCATGTTTGTTGTTTCATCAGTGTCTAGCCCGTTTCAACTTTTTTGGTATGATCAATTACTTATAAACTCTGATCCATGAAGTTAGTTAATTTAGTTAGTCACAATGTAGTTTTACTGTTTATAAATTATTGGGTCACTGGAAGGTCCCAAAACTGAGAGAGCCAAAGGGAACATAACTGGATAAAATAAATCTTTTTATCTTTTGTTGAGAAGGTAAATATTTTTGTGCTCCTTGTTAGGAAAACATAGCGCAGAGCGAATATACTGGTGAGTGTAATTTATCAATGACATGTTTAATATATATTTTGTACTGCGCGTGACATTTTGATAAATCTTATTTCAGGTTGTGTAAGACATCTTTCTTCTTATGAAGAACTAATTTAGAGTTAAGGATGAGAAGGCATACCTCACCGCTGATGGTTCCAGAAGCCATCATGTCCCCTGGGTTTATGTTACACCCAGTGACGGTGTGATGTGCTAGTTGCTGTTTTGGTGTCCAGTAGAGGTATTTGAAGTTAGAGCGACACACTGTACTTGCAATTGACTTCTCCGCTACAACATCACATGTAATTTTTTATCACATTTTCTTTACCTCTCAGCTCAGTAAGGCCAAAAGGCATGTGATTTTTAAGAATGACAAGATTTCAGGTACTTTATGGGCAGTGGTTATACTTGGAATAATACCTCATTCCACGTTCATATTTTCAATATTTAAGTGGGCTTCGAGTTCATTTTTAAAAGAAATAATATTCAATAAATACCACATCCCAAGTCACTTATGTTTAAAAATTACATGTCAGTGCCAACATTTTTAATAATTAGTATCCACACTTGATGTAAATATGCAGGTCTTAAATTTGTTTTCCTTTACATTGAAGATGGCTATGGCATGTTCCTCCAAAATATTGGTAATCACTTTCAAGACCACACAGCATCACAGCCCAGGAGGCCAAATTTTATATCTTCACTGCTACGAGAACCTCAGATGGATCTTAAATCTTAATTACAAAGAATCAATAAATACCTGGTGAGACCTCAACATATTTTTTTAAGTATCCCATTGCACACATTGCAGAATATTTTCTGTATTTTCAGAAATACTCACAGTAATGTCAAAAAGCACAGAAATTTATGGAAGTTTTTTTTAGGTGAAAATGTTTTCAGCGTATGGTTCTCCAAATATTTGTATGGATGAAATGAGGAAAACTAAATCTGAGATTCAAATTAGATACCTCCTGAATACATGTCAGATGTATTGCCACTGAACTAACCTGCTTGATAAAAATAAGAGATAAGCCTCATGGTTTGAGAAGGGTGACTTCGAGAATTTCCGTCTAGTGAATGAACTACCAGAATTGATTAAAATGTCTTTTATCCATACTGCAACACAACACATGCAAAAGAAGGAAGGAAAGGCTCACGTTTGATGTCCACTTGCAGATTGATGTCAAAGTTGTATGGGTCGCTATGCTGCAGATATGGGAGTGGTGTCAAATCTTGCTTGTAGTTATCAACAGTAAATGGTTCCAGTGCCTCCATTGTTACCACCCAGGGAGAAATGGATGTCCCAACATTTTTAGCAAGAAATGGACCAAGTGGGACATACTCCCACTTCTGAATGTCACGAGCTACAAGACATATTTATATTTAATGGTTCTTGAATTACAACATGTAATGTTCGTTATACAAATTACATTAATTACAGCAAATTTGAAATGTAAGCGTTTATTGATATTTCAGGCTTAATTCATTGATAAATTAGGTCTCCAAACTGTACCAAATTTTTTGGGGCATTCATTACGTTTCCATTTCACTTGTTTAGCTTTCGATAAATTTGTCATCATAAATTGACTTGGTCACTCTTATACAAATTTTGTACACAGTATTTTCTGTTTGCTTCTTTCTCAAATCAAAAATTCACTTCCAGGCTGTTTATAAGTAATAGACAGGAGTGAGGAATTATCTGGATCTGTTCATCATGAATTTCACAGCTTTAGATTAATTTCTAATTATTTTGTGTTCTGTAATATTTAAAAAAAAATTACTGTGAGAATGTAAACATTATGCTGCAATTTTTTTTATAGCTTTCTGATATTCCTTGGTTATCCTTACCATAGCAAGGAAATACAGAACACAATCTAAACCATTCCATCTCATTTTTAGTATGCTGAGTCATATGCTGGTACTAGAAATGGGCAGAACAGGTCTTTGTTAAATTGAATTCATTCATTACAGCCCACTTTTGCAACCTGTTTACCTTGTTTACTTAATCATGTCAGTGAGTACTATATTTTCAGCCTGGGGTTTAATGTATTTACAGATTACATAATTTTATTATAATAACAATATTATTTTGGTAGCTGAATGAGACTGGTCAATGAATGAAATCTAATCAAAGTGAAAAATGAAAAACAAATTTATTTATTTAGACCTGTTTCCAGAATGTTTCATCGCTAGCTGGTACATACCACTCCAGTCATTCATGAGCACCATGCCAAATATGTGTTCATGTGCTTCTTTCACAGGCACAGGCTCTCCAAGTTTAGATGGTGGCCCGCCCACAAAGAACGCCACCTCCAGCTCAAAGTCCATGAGGCGGCTAGGTCCAAACACTGGGGCAGCCCCTTCCACCGGACACGTCTGGCCGTTAGGTCGCCGGATTGGAGTCCCAGTTATGACAACAGAAGATGCTCGGCCATGATAGGCTACAGGTAAATGCTTCCTGTAAGACCATAAATTTATATTTTGTTTAGTTTTTAAACATGGTGATCTGGACCACAACTTGAATGAATGAGTTGTGAATTGTATAAAGGTACTATCTAACTAAGTAACTCCAAGAACAGAGACCTCCTTGAAAAGTTAATAATCACATAGCTGGTCCCTTTTCTACGTCGTATGAATTCAGTCAACTTTCATACTTTTTTCTTTAGGACCTATCTTAATATATCTTCCCATTTTAACCTTGGTCTCCATAGCAGTCTGTTCTATTCAGGTTTTATCTAAAATACAGCGTACATTTATCATATCACCATGTATGCTGCATGTCCTGCCCATCTCGTGCTCCTTAATTTGGTCACCCTATTATATCTGTGAGGTATGGTAATTCTTACCAGTTAGGAAAAAGTGCATTGTTTTTGTCACGGAACATAATGCCTACGTTGGTGGCATGGTGGATGGAAGAGTAGAAGTCAGTGTAGTCTCCCACTTGGACTGGGAGATGCATTGTTGCTTTTGATTGTGAAACAAATATCCTGGAACATAACATACACATGATTACATGGAAGATCATCTCTGTGGCAATACCACAGGTATAATATACTGGAAAGTGCATTGTTGCATGTTTGTCAGTATCTTTTGTCTCCAGAATTAACTAACTAGATGGCTTACCGAACTCAAAGGTTCATCACCGAATTAACCAAAGCCCTTCACTGGACCCTGTCCTGGGCCAACAAAATCCAGTCTCCTTCAA